CAAGAAACTTCTCAAGATCATTTTGCTTACAGCATTATCCCGGAGCTTGTTCTTTGGTAATTTTTCTTGCAGCAGGAATTTCACACTCTTGACATCTTCTGCAGTTAAGTTCTCAGCAATTCCATATAGCAGTTGTCTGGCATTAAAGGTCAGAGAAAGACTGATTAAGAAAGTTATGAGAAGTAAACATGGCAAAATGTAAAACACGGTCTCCAAATTCACAGCATCAAGTAGTCATGCTGTAATAAATACAATTTTGCTGAACAATCCATAAAATAACATTGTAGACAGAAAACGAGAAAGACAACAGAACTGTTGTACATTTTGCTTGCAAAAGTAGACTACTTTTATGCCTACCTATAGGCTGACACCTTTGCCTTCCCTGGGACCTGGAGCTCCCTCTCCATCTCCTCTCGGCTGGAGCCCAGGTGGGAAGCCAGAAGGTCCATCCGATTGATGCGGTAGAGCAGCTCCTTCAAGAAGAACAGGTCCCCCACCTCAATCATCCCTTTCTCCTTCAGCACTTCAAAGAAAGCTTTGGGCTCCTTAGTATCTTCCTGCTTCCTCACAGGGACATGCTCCAAGCTGAGAAACTTTAGAGCTGCCAGTTCTTCTGTGACCAAAGCCTCAGAAATGTCAAAAAGGAGTTTCCAGAAGTCTGAACTCATTTCACATTAAGATTTTGATCTAAACACAGACAGAATTTGATTTGGTTTGTCAGTAATGGTAGTGCAACCACATGATTATAAAAGGTATCATGCCATACAGAATAGTCTGAGATAAATATATGTAATCAAACATGCTTCAGTAGACAGAAGCTGTCCCACAAACATAGCTTTGATACTTAGCCCTTTTGGTTCTCTGAACTCACTTCCTACGGTGTATTTCAATAACCGGATGTACAGATACGTAAGACATACTATCCTGGCAAGTCAGTGGTTTTTCTTTTGTCACTCAAAATCTGAAATATAGACTACACAGTAAATAAGACTGACAGATTTTGTACTATGACAAAGATAAAGGTTTTACATCCTGACAAAGGGCCCATATGAGCATGTTTCTAAGCTATTTAGCTGCTTCAGTATACTGCTTCTGACCTTGGTCAGTGTAAACACTTTGTCCTGTTTTGGTTCATCTGGAGAAAGTAAAATTCAGTCCCCATTTCTCAGTAATATTCAGATCATGTCGACCTCTTCAAAAAGACCAGGAGAATTCTTGTCAAAGCAGTTCTGTTTCACTAATCATCAAATATCATCCTCCTCCTCCATCACTTACCACCTCTATCAGCTTCACCAATATTAAATTTGACTTGCACATCCAGCCTTTGAGCACAATAGAAAGTCAGAAAACAAGTTTCAAATCTACAACTTACTGCAACTAGAACAGATGTGCCATCTACATGCTGTATTTAAGCCTGTCGGCTTAAATGTAAATACAGGAGCACACTAAAACAATATTTAACTGCATCTGTCTTCTACTTCACTACAACAAAACCGATACAACGGCAAACTATTTCTTCTATACCATAAATAGCCACTTTAACACACTTACTTGGGAAGGTGGGCTGGAAGACTGCTGAGACAACTCTGAAAAATGAAAGTAATTGCCCTGGAAGTTTCGGGAAAAGTACTGGATGTACTATGGCCTGTGTTGTCATGTGACTTACAAAATGAAAGCTGTATCGAAGCTGTGATAATTTTGCAGCAATTTCCTTCTCCACTTATCACTCTTCTGGAATCAGGAAATTGTTACACTGGCCATGAGAAAAATTAGTTAACCTACAAAAGTAACCGAAGCTTCTGAGAGTACACGCTGAATAGCATAGCAAGGACTTGCTAGCATATGGTACTGCTCATTAAATGGTGATTAACTATGAATCCTAATTAAAAGATAGCAGTAAAGACGTGCATTAATTACATCTGCCCATTTAAAAATATCTCAGTTCCATCATCCTGTTGTGTCACCAGATCTTCCACATCCTACCTCCATTCTTTGAAGTCCCACCTGAACTCACCTAGCCTACTTTTAACAAGCATATTTATGGAAGATTATTTCCTAAAATCAAATATCAGCACCATATTCAGTAGCAGTACTTGGTCCATACAGTAAACTGAAAGGCTAAACATCTCCTTGAAATTATTTCACATTTCCCCATTTCCAAAAGAATTTAAATAGTATTTAAGTTTTGGCATTTACATCTTTTTTCATGCATAGAACTCTGCCTTTCGTGATGAAGTTCCAAGAATGATCTGTTGGTCACTGGTACACTTCATGCATTGGGAAGCATATGAACAACAATCAGTACAGCTACCAACCCCTCCATCTACATCTGAAGCTCAGTTCAATATTATGAAAAGAGACAGGAGAACAGAAATTCAAATTTCACAATGAAAGCTACCTTTCATTGATTTCAACCTACCTGCCTTTAAGAACTCAAAATTATAACATACCTTTCAATAGAACGAGGCCTACAAACTTCTTCCAAAGGTCATACTCTTGTAAGAACTCAGAAAATTTGTCTGATGTTCAATTGCATGAGTCTTCCTTTTGTCCAAAGGTTAGAAATTACACCAAGGAACAGAACAAGCACTGTCTGATCTTCAGGTCCAAAACAGTTCTGTCTCACGTCGTCCCATGCCTCACTGTCTCTCTTCCTTCTTCAGTCACTCTGTGTCTTAAATGAATCAAGATTCCAGTTGCAGATTTAAAGAGGCAAAATACCGTGATTAGTAAAGCACGAAAAATATTTGCAGACAAGTCCAATCCTAAGATAGCTCTTTCCAGACAGAGACCTCTCCCATCATGCAGTTGTTCCAGGGAACACCCCTTCTGGTACTGTTCTTCCTGTTTTTATGATTTCACTTCTTATTTCTCTTTCATCTTTCCCCAAAATATCCCTGCTCTTTTATTAACCTGTAGTCACTCCAATTTCCCTCAGCTTTTCTGCAGCTCTGTTTGGTCCCTCTGGCTTCACCAAGAACAATCTCGATGATCCAATTAATTCCGTGTACAGCAGACCACAAAAAATTCAGCTCTCCCAGAAAGGCTGGCCTCAAGGAAGCGAAAAATGCTGACGGAAATTGGTGACTGGCCTCTACTGGCAAAAGCCAGGATAAACCACTCCTACACAAAAAACTGCCAGTGCGGAAGGACTTGTTAATTATACAAATCCCACTTTAAAGATCTTCTGAGTAAATTATATGCAATTATAAATAAATTGTAACAAATCTTCCACACGCCCAATCTAAATCTCCCCCTTTTTAGCTTGAAACTGTTTCCCCTTGTCCTACTGCAACAAACCTGCTAGACTCTCCCCTTCCTTCTTATAGCCCTCCTTCAGATACCAAAAGACTGCTGTAAGGTCTTCCTGGAGCCTTCTCTTCTCCAGGCTGAACAGCCCCAGCTCTCAGTCTGTCCTCACAGGAGAAGTGCTCCATCCCTTGGATCATTTCTGTGGCCCTCCACTGCACGCACTCTAATAGGCCTGCATCTCATCTCTCTTGTACCGAAGACTCCACACCTGGATGCAGTATTCCAGGTGAGATCTCACCAGTACAGAGCAAAGAAGCAGGATCACCTCCCTCAACCAGCTGACCACATTTCTTTTGATACAACCCAGGATACAGTTGGCTTTCTGGGCTGCAAGGGCACACCGCTGTCTCATGTCCAGTTTACCAACCATCAGTACCCCACAACCTTTTTGACAGGGCTATGTCCTATCCTTTCATCCCCCAGCTTGCATTGATAGTACAGTTTGTCCAATAATGCAGTTACACCGTGAATGTCATTAAAGTCTCTTCTGCAGCATCTGATGCACAGACTCAGATGAGAACAACCCAAATCGTCTATTACAAGTTCTCACATTACTCATGTACCTTCAGAAGTTTCCTTTTTCTAGCTTTCCCATCCACCTTCACAGGTCAACAGAGCATTCTACAAACACTCTTCAACCGTTCGTGCAGGTGCTTACCCAATCAGCCATGAGACATTCTTTCTTCTTCTAGGTGTCCTTGGTTCTCATGCTGTTTATCTTGCTCCACAGCTGCTGCTCTGAACAGTTTTTCTTGTATTCCCAAACTCTTCCAACCCGAATCACTCTTATGATTCTAAGATTCTTGTCAGTGCTTGTACTGATAAAATTCAGTTGTTATCTGAACATACGAAAGAGGAGTGCACCAAATCTGAACACTAATTTTGAGCCAGATACTTGGTGACTCTATTATAGTGAATATATATATATGGTGATATATATATATATACACTATATATATAGATTCTAATATTAAAAATATATATTCTATATAGAATATTATATATTCTACTAGTAAAGAAAATATTTTCTACCTGTGGCATAAATGAAACCCCAAGCGTAGGACCTACACTAATTCAGAAGCCTTAGAATGCAGTCATGAATTGACTTAGAATATAGTTCAATTCATAACGACGAAAAGTAAAAGATGCTTTGGCAGATTGACTGCATTTTATTGTTTTGAGTGATGCAAAAATCATGTATACTGCAAGCAAAAATTGGTTCCAAGAGCATCAGTCCATGCTCTCTCACTTTTACACCCCAAGTCTTGAGCTATTTTACAGCTAGTAATTATAGATAATAATCACTGTTTTGTTGAAATAAACTAAGCTTCACTTTCAGTTTAAGTCCTGAAGTAGTAAAAATCCCATCAATTGATGAGACCCAACAAGGATGTAACACAAGGGAATGGCAGAAATCTGTGCCAGAGTAGGTTCAAACCGAATATTAGGAAAAATTTCTTTACCATGAGGATAGTCAAGTACTGGAAGGGGCTTTCTAGAGATGCCCCATGCCTGTCAGTGTCTAAGAGGCATTTGGATAATGCCCTCAATTACACGCGTTATCTTTTGATTTGCCTTGAAGTAGTCAGGCAGTTGGACAAGTTGATCTTCAAAGGCCTCTTTCATCTGAATTATTCCATTCCATGCTATTCTACAGGTAGGCAAGCAGAAGCAATGATAAGCTTTAGCCCTGTACAAAATTTTTATTATTACTTTCTTCCCCCACCCCCACGTTCTTAAAAAGAAGTATAAATTAAACTCAGCAACAAACAGGAAGGACACAGATACACATAGTAAACATCTCTAACAAAATAACATCACCTTATTTTGGTTAACTCTAAAACATACTCCGATAGAAGCTTAATAAAGAGCCTTCTGTCCCATATGAATGCATTTTATATCTTAAAATAAGAAATCAGAAAATTTAATGTTTCCAGTTAATCAGACTGATCAATGTATGCAGATACAATGCTGAATATTATCATTTCGTAGTGCTCAGCTGTTCCACGCTAACTTGCCTGTGGAAATGAGGGTTAACAAGGTTTCACAGAGGGAATACTGTAGCATTTTGTCTATACTGAGTCTTGGAAACATCTTGTACGCGAGTTGATGTTAGCTATTAGAGGGCATCAGTGTGTACAGCAAAAAAATCAAGTGATTTTCAGTAGTTATAAGTGATCTAAGTTAGGAATGAAAGAAAAAATTCTCCTCCACCTACTACTTGAACTTTCTCTTCTTCATTCCTACCTTTGCCTTTCTCTGTGAACACAGCTTATGGTTTTAGAGGTAGGTTTAAGCATTATTAGTATGCAAAATAAAATTTGATGATCTAAACCAGACTGTTAACATCCTCGTTTAGATATAAAGGAACATACAGAAGGCTACATATGCAATCCTTATGCTGACCGAAATACACTTTTACATCTGCAGGCTGTGTCAGTACAAAAATGCTTAACATCATAGAAACTCGCTTCTCCCATCCTTGAAAATTCTGAATATACAGATGATGTAAATAGCTGGCACACTGATTGTGTTAACTGCATCTCTTCCAACTCAATTTCAAAGTTTCTCTGGAAGAAAAAAAAAAAAAAAAAAAAAAAGGCCCTGCCTTGACACCAACAGTTCCTCAGGAGTCAGTAACTACCTTAAAAAAGTGTTGTGAATTGCATTTAGAGAGACATACTGACAAAAGGATGTATTAAAAGTCTCAATGTCACTGTGAAGGAGGGGGGTCTCTAGGTATTGGGAATATAAGTTTTCTTCTTAAGGTATATGCTGGCTGCGGCATCTGCTTCTTTGTCCCACAACGGTCAACACGCTTGCTAACATCTTCATTAACTTCTGTAAGGATGGACAAAATATCTTCACCCCTGCAGCCAAAAAGAAAACAAAAATAAAAAGTGACTTATTAATGAGCAGATGGTACAGTTTCTCCACGTAACACCTCTCAGATAATCTAGAAGCTACAGTATAAACACTTAAAGCCAAAAAAAGGTAAAACAAAGCACACCCTTTTTTCCAAATTCCCCTTCTTTTGATATTCACTTGAGTCACACTAGAAATACAAAACTTTTTCTCTCTCTGACTTCTTGTGCTTGATCTATTGGCTGGCAACCCTGCCTATGGCAGGGGATTGGAACTTCATGATTTTGAGGTCCCTTTCAATCCAAGCCATTCTATAATTCTATGACTGACATTCAGTAATGAAAGAGAAGGGAACAAAACATTTTCATCTAAATCCACTAAAGAAACGGATAGCTTCATCTAATATGATAGAGATTGGAAGTTCAGAGGTTTTTAGGTGTTTGTTTTTGGTTTGGTTTTTTTTTTTTTTTTTGAGGGGTAGTTCCCCAATAAACTTCACAGTGATCTGATTGACACTACGCTACTACTGGTATTAATGTAAATTTATCAAAGATGAATTATCAAACCAGTAGTTTCATTGATTTTGCCTATTTCAGAACATGGATTAATGTTACTACTTGAGGTTGCCTTCAGAGAAAAATAAAAGAAGGGGAAGTTCCTCCCATTTTTTCATAAGAGCTACCTAAATAATTATTTACCTTGGTACCAACGACTGTAGCTTGCTGCACAAGGCCTGAATATACCAAGTACCCTCTTGAACATGTCGGAAAGAAGCATATCCGTCAATTGTGGCCATGCCTAGAAGGAAATCAGCCTCTTCAGGAATACTTTCAGAAGGAGAAATGCTCCGTTGTACAGAAGAGAAGTCAGGAACTCGTGCATCAGTTTCAACATAGACAGGACGCTGTATCTCTTTACCCTGGCATGCTTGGATAAAGAATAGTTTGGGTTTTTCAGTCAACTGTGGACATTGTTTGGCAGTGAAGTAGGTCATGATAGTACGGATTGATACAAGCTTCCCATCTTTCCCATAGACTGCTCCTGACTCTCCATGAGACAGAATGCAACAAACAAAACAGTCCCTATCCTTGTGGTCTTCTGAACGCTGCCATGCTTGCATCAGTTCTTTAATCTGATCAGATGTCTGATCTGTGTAAGCCCTCACATCCAGACCAAGCCATTTGAATACTTTCTCCAGTTCCCCTGTAATTAAAGATAAGAAAGAAAAATTGAGGCAGTAGAAAACCATTTTATGGTCATCGTGCAAGCTAATTTTAAGTGTAAAAGACATCATATGCTGATCCTTCTGTAAATTCATCCATATACTATTATCAAATAAAAGTTAATGGAATAAAGGTAGCATCAGCTCAAACACAGTAACTGATTCCTTCTAAACAAGTTTCAGAAAATACAATGACATTGTACAGTGTACAATCACAAACCGAGTTCAAAATTACATATGGAAATTAAGGTGATCTCTTTTGAAACCTTCTTAGAATGTTGTTTTCCAACTGCAGTTTTGACTATTACAGAGTTCTATCAAAAAGAGACAAACAGAATAGAGTACACATGGAGCTGTTTGCTTAAGGAGTTACGCATTATATAAAATGACAGCCTATATCTATAATAAAGAATTAAAACTAACTAAAAAGGAATTCTCAAAATGTTTAAAGAACAATCTAACTTTATGAAAAACTCAGTCATTAGTCCTTCCTGCAAGGATACACAAGTGGCGTAACATCAAAAATTCTACTGTTTAAAAATATTTACTGAAACACATACAAAAAATATAGACTATACAGGAAAATCAAAGGAAATAGAGGAAATAGAGATCAACCCTTCAAAAATCTTACTTCAAGAACTTACAGGCATCTTTATAAGAACCCTTTCTCTCTTGAAGAACCCCATCAAATTTAACATTATTAATAACAAGACAAATTCCTCTCTGTGGCCCATCCATTTTGTAAGTTGACGCCTGTAAAAAGCATAAGAAAAACAGCTTACAGCTTCAGAGAACTTATTCAGCACGGATGTGTGATCTCTAGAAATCATATTTCCTTAACATGTTTAAAAACTGGCAACCAGAACACCAGAGGTGCCCAAGACTCCAGGATATTTCCGACAAAGTGGAACTCATAATGCCTCCTTGTGTGAAGTGGCATGGATGAAGTCTCAAGCACACTATCACCAAACCATCAAAATGCAGAAGAAGGGTTTAACAACTGAGTTGGTGATCTGTATGCAATCTGAACTGGCGTTAGGGTTAGCAGTATTTCACTGTCAGGAAAAGATTATAACTTTAAGTGTCAGAGGGTTTACCCTCAATCTTGACAATGTCAGACACCTCATTTCATTCTGTAAGGACTGTTGAGTGCCTACTGGTGGTTTTGGAAAGGGATGCAATGAGAACAGAGATCTCACACAGGAACAAACCTGCCACACTAGCAGTTTCACTGAGACTTAAAAATTACCACCCTCTTAAGAAAAAATGCTTTAAAAATTGAGAATTCACCAAAACTTCAAATATTATCCCTAATTTTAACCTCAGGTAAAAATTAGAGTTCCACCATTCCTGTTCCTCTCTGCTAGCTGGAAAGAACAATAAAAAACACCCGATTTTGTGCATTATAGTTGAAGGAAATCAAGACATCACCCCAAAAACTCTTTCAAGAGTAGCAGACAGTAGTGTTTGCTTGAGCATTCTGAACATCAGTTGATAGCACAGAACTTCGAGAAATTAAACAGGTATAAACAAATGCAGCAACATGCTCTCTCAATATCTGTGCTTATCACAAGGAAAAAGACACGGGGAGAATTAATGGTTACACTGCTGTGCAAGCTTAAAGAACACTTACAAGACTTGTAAAAAGGTACCTCACAGAAGGCATGTTTTCCCCTGAACCAAGACGCCTGGTGCATTACACGCCCATGATTACTGAACACACTTGCCTTTCCTTCTCTTACCCTTCTTCCATAGTGGGTAGAGCGTGAAGGCAATATTATTAATTTCAGGGCACCCTGAAGCTTTTTCTAAGCCACATCCGGAGAGGGAGAGAACTGTGAAGGTATGTTTGCCTCTGCTTCTACCTGCACATTCTGCTGCCATCTCCAAAATTTGCAACTCAAGATTATGCCAGACGATTTGCCTCTATCAGGGAGATAACGATGTGTGTATAGCACCAAAGGCAATATGCCTGTTTTGCCTCACTATGTCTTTCAATATGGTGAAGTTCCTGACCTCCAAGGTTAGAATACCCTCCAAAATATTCTGGATTATCAGCCTGCTCAACCACCTTCACGAGACACAGAAAAATCTCACATGCTGTTGCATGCCAGTGCAGGGATGGAGACCTTACATACCTACATATTCACAAATAATCATTTAAGAGATTATCTCAAACCTTGGATTCATTTTCTACACCACTGAATCCTCCAGACAGCTGCAGGTTTGTTTCAGAGAAGACTCGTGTAAGATCAGGCGCTCTGTTATCTAGGAAAAAACAGCAAATATTTGTGAGGATTAATCTAGTATTGGTGTATGTAGCAAAAAGGAGTTTAGCTACAGTACAGCCCTTCTTATATTTAAAATGGCTATACATTGAAAGGAATACTTCTTTCCATATGAGATAGCTACTATCACTTACATGGCACGACATGTCTGAACATGTCTCCAGTTATTTTATGTATTTTCATGCCTGAGGCAAGGCTTCTGCTTGCGCTGGTTTTAGGGAACAAAGACATTTGTGGTACAATGATAGAGTCTACCTGCAACAGTCAAATTAATTTTTCAACTGGAAATATTTAGAAAAACTGCGCTGTAAGAAGAATATGTGACTTACTAGTGAAGCTTCCATTACATAATACTTTCAGTTCCTGAGTGATTCACAATAGCTCTGAGACAAAACCTTCAAACAGCATTCAAAGAAGTTCAAAGTGGAAAACCACAGGTTATGCTGCAATACTTTTTAACAGGCCAATATGTAGTGGAGTCTCAAAGATAGCTGTATACATACCAGCCACTGTTATTTGCACATAACCCTTTCAGAGATCTGATCCAAGTTATAATTTATTGCCATATAATCAATGAATATACAGATGTTATAATTAAGAAATGTACAAGAGAGTTTGGCTAAGCAGGTTATTACACCAAAAAAGAGTAGATGAAGGGCTTACCCTTGTGCTGGGCTTGCTGGAAAACTCCAAAAGGAGGGACCTCCAGAAAGAGATCCTTCCCCACTGGTAGTCAGCTCTTATATGGGGGCTAGGAGAGATGGAGCCAAGCTCCACCCTTTCCGGCAGCACAGGTGAATTGCCTTCACCTGTGCTCCCAGGACTGACTCAGCACTCATCTCAGGTGATCAATCAGAGGTTCAGGCTGTGATTCAGCAGTTCCCATACAACTGTTAATTTATTTATGTAACTCTCCCCTCCTTCTCATGTCTATCTCAGGCTACTCAATGCATTCAAAACATCCATTTCCACTATATAACACCTGGTGACTTCCTCAACTGGTAATCTTTCTAACTTCACTTTTCCAGGAAGCCATGGAAGATGTACAAACATTAACTGTACACGTTATGCTCTCTCTAGTGTATAAAGGTGCTAGGAACTAAACCAATTTTTGTCTGTTGGCTTATTTCTGTTCTCAGACCTTTTATTTTCTGCCATTTTAACAGCTGTTCAGCAAATGTCTGAGAAGAACTGGCATTCCAGAACTGGAATGGAGAGACAAAATCAGCGCATCTTCTCATTTCCTCTATAAGGATCCCAGAGGTATGGCAGAAAGGGCTACAAGAATTGGTGTGGTCCTTTTAAATAACACATTAAATTTCAGGCAGCACAGAATAAAAATTGCTTAACAATTAAACACTAAGAGAATACAAACCTTGCCTGCCAGGTACAGAGCTCACATTTCCAGTATATTCCCATGGGCTCCCAGGTTCTTCAACATAATTATCTATATAGCAAAAGAAGTCTGAGCTAAAGTCTCACACACACAAAATTAACAGTTCAGTTCTATAAACAGTCACAGAGATCTATTCCTTCCAGGCATATTTAAACAGAGCACTTGTTTTTTCTTCTCAAGAAGAACAAACTATCTTTTTACTACTGATCTTTATTCCACTTCCAAAAAAAACAAAAAAAACAAACATGCTAGTTAGTTTCTAGTGAATGACTAACGAAGTGCATGGGATCTGCCAATTTTCTCCCATTTACGTAAGGGTGGAAATCCTTCAAATCTTCTTGAGTAGAAAGCAAAAGTCCCTTACAGGTAGGACAGCAAGGTAAGTGTGTTGCATTAAACCAAATGCTAGAAATTTACTACAGTAAATAATCATATGCAATATTAAACATAAAAGTAACAAACTGAGTGTATTTTTGGAAAGTCTTACCATGGATATTGGAACTGACAAATTTGATTGAGGTCTCCTATTTTTTGAGTGGAAGAAGGGACATGTTAAAATTATTGTGTGTGTGTACATATACATATATAAACACACACATACACACACCTCATAGTGGTTTTAGCAAAACAGGCTTAATAAACACCAAAGCTTTCTAAGTAGCAGGTAACAAGGTAACAAAAATACCAAATTCCTAAGAGCAGGAAGCATAATGAAACTACAAAAGACTTTTTCACTTACTGCAAATGTCATGGAACTGCAAACAAACATTTTTTCATACAAGTAAAAGAAACAGCAATTTTTTTTTTTCAGTTTCAAATTATCTTCCAGTATAGGGGTGGGCAATCACTAAAAACAAAAAAAGTAGTCTGACACTGCCCCCTATCAATTCTCTTGGATAGTATAATTTCTTTTTTCTATCTATGTTTTCGTACTCTGACATTAATTTTCTTACCATGCCAAATGTCATGCATGAAAGCAGAGCAAAGCTCAAAGCTGCAGTAATGCAAGCCCTTTTGATACTGAATAGCACATTTTCCTCAGCTCTTGTCTACCACGACTGCACTTCTGGGAAGTATCATCAAAAAGACCATTGCTTCCCTCATTCAGAACTGGAATAAAACTCCCTCCCCTAAAAAAGAAATCTGTCATAAGCCATGCAAGTTAGGTTTCTCAATCTGCTTCATCATTCAGCTGCAGAAATGACTTAACTGAGCAAAGACTGCTACGCTGGAGAAATGGGAACACTCCTTCAGAAGCAGCCTTTTGAACCGGTTGTCAGTACACGGTGTTAATCCTTGGAGATAGATAGTTTTGTGATGATCAGACAAAACTTTAAAGATCTGCAATTCATGTCTCATTCTCTAGAAGGCCCTCTTATACCTCCCTCTCACATTTCTCCTCCTAGTGTTATCTTTTCCTTCAATTGCACATGACCAACAGTAGTTTTTCAGTTGAAACTATTTGATGCTACACAGAGCTGTATTTCTTATATGCAGAACAAATATGCTTGTCACCTTATTAAATCAAGTGGAAAGAATCAGTGAAACAGAGAGCCAAACAAGTATGGTTTCAAAGTGAAGGCAAAGAAAAAACAAACCCCAAACACTAAAACCCTTGACCCAGACAGCATGTGTTCCAGTGTACCTGAGGGGAATTGAAAACTCTGATGCCTACAGCATAAGATGGTGAAGATTCCTTGACTGGAAGAGTATTCTCCTGCTGAGACAGAGACACTAAGAAAAGGAAAAAAGGAAAATAAGTGAGAGATGTCATGTGCGTTTTAGTTAAATCCCTATGAACCTGCACATTAGGGTGAATGCAGATCTATACTTAATGAAAGGTGCATTAAAATAAAAAACAAGTTTGAAACACACAAAGGAAGCACATGGGACTGGACCCCTTGGAGGTACTGAATGCCTTCACACCTGTTTAAAACATAGCTTTGGACTTCCCAGAATTTGCTTCCCACTGCTAAAATAATTGGAAGCAGAACCTTCTCTCCAGCATGCTTATAGTCACTCCATAGGACATTAAGAGTAGCAGTGTCACAAACTGCAGTACAACACCCCTGAGAACACCAATCACACATTCTAGAATTAAAGTTACCATGTATCAGACAAACACAAATTGCCTTTCCAGCTTACTAGCAAGCAACTGCTTTGTAGATGTATACGTTTATGAATCACAGAGCGTCTTTTATAGGATAGTCATCATCAACTCAGTGCTACCCACATAGAAACTGAGGACTGTGGCATAACTATAAATGGATTTTTAGTTTCTCAGGCAGTTCGTATGTGCTGGACTGCTCTGCGTGGCCTCAAATATTCAAACACATTCCTACTGGGGAATAATGATGTAATACAAGTTTGGGACAGTTATGCTGAACTTGCGTGTGAAGATACTGAACAAACCCAGTCTAGTAAAGCACACATAGATCTTTCAAGTTCAGTTGCCCAGACCCTCATAGAGCTTCCTGCATTTTAGCAAGTATATTCTCTAACTCTGAATTTCTCACCATTTGCCATTCTGTAGCAGTTTACTGTTTCCAGGAGATCAGGTGAAACATTTCTAAAGACTTCCTCCAGTGTCTGCACATTGTTTTCAGTTAAAAGACCCTGTTTTTCCAATAAAATCAGCAACTCCAAAGCAGACTGATAAAGAAGACAATAAAATATATTTATTGTTCTTTAGAACTTAAAACCATTTGTTTCAGCCCTGTCTGTCTCAAATAATCCCACGATCACCTGCTTTGCCTCCTATCAATAAAATCCAAACAGTCAATTTTACATCACAGGGAGAGGGAGCTTCCTCCTTGCTCACCCTATGAACATTGACCAGCTTAGTCACATGGCATCTTTTCTGCCAAAGACTTCTCACACTTCTCCCATTTCACTCCCACTCTGATCTTCTTCCCTCCCCGCCATAGACATATTTGCCACTCTCCCCACATACAATAGTTCTGTGTCGCTTTGGAAGATGGTTTCTCAGGAGGAATACAATTTCCTGCAACATCTCATTGGTAATGTTCTCTGACAATTCATACAGCATCTGCCTGTAAGAGAGACTCAGTGAGACAAAGGTAGAACAGAGCGTGGAGAAAGCTAAAAGCAGTACGAAAAATTAAAGGAAAGGGAAACAGAAAGTTATAGATGGCAGATAGCAGAATCTCGTTTCATACTTACCTGTACACAGACACTTTTCCCTTCTCACGCAGACATGCTTGCACTTTCTCCTTGGTATAGCCCAGGAGACTGAGCAAGGAGTGGTATTTAATTGCGTATAACAGTTCAGCTAGCAGGAAAGTATCTTTCTCATTCAGATAATCTTCATCCATAAGAAGCTGAAAAATGTCCATTGCTGACTGCACGCTTTCCAGTTTTCTGAAGGGGATCAAGTCAATACAGAGAAATTTTAATGCTGCTACATCCTCAGCCCCCAGTTTTTCATCGATGAGCAGGAGCAGCTGACGAAACTGCAAGCTGTCAACATCCTCCATGTTGTTGGCACTGATGATCTCTGCCTAAAAGTCAAATTAAATGTTGTTAACAGTTAAATCTCCAGCAATCCTCATAACTATAAATAATAATAAGATATAATCCAAGGAGGTTTGAAAGACTTGAATTCTCTGCAAAAGAGAAGTTTCCTTTTAAACCAATCCGAAACATACTTCCTTCTCCAAGTGCAAAACAACAAAGAATAAATTTGGCAGTGTACAATCAACAAACATACAATTAGCAGAGTGGCATGATAAGGCTGGTACTGTATAGATCATATAACTAGAAGGATTATTATGGTGGAAAGAGACAATCTAAAACAAAAGAAAGGCTCACCCATATCCTAGGCTTGCAGAAAAACTCCAAAGGGAGCTATCTCTAGATAGAGACCCTTCCCCAGTGGGGGTCAGCCCTTAAATGGGGTCTAAGAGAGGTGGAGCCAGGCTGCATCCCTTTCTGTCACACTGCTGAATTGCCTTCACCTGTTTGCCCAGGGCTGGCTCAGCGCTTGCCTCGGCTGATCAATCAGAGGCTCAGGCTGTGATTCAACAGTTCCCATACAGGCAGGTGTTCTATACAACCCTGTCTAACTTTGATATCAGCCCTGTGCTGATCAGAAATCTGTGCTTGATGACCTCAAGAGATCCCTTCCAACCTAAATTCTTTTATTTCTTTGTATCATCTTTAACGTTCAGAGCTTCACCTCTTCACACTGTTGGTGGGTGGGAAGAGTCCCTTTGTAACTCTCAGTGGGGAGAATGTAGCAAAATCACTTATTCCTTGATCTTCTACTAAACTCTTTTGCATTTAGCTCAGGAAAGCCTCTGCGCAAGCAAATTAATCCTACTGAAGTTTCCAATAGAGAGCAATTATCCTTTTATGCACTAGCTTCTTCAGTGTAGCTTATGCAGTTATTATTTGCCTGTGCAATGTTGTATAGGGAAGCTTACTTAAGAAAGAGCTTTAGGGCCTTCTTTCAGGCACTTCCTTCAGACAGGCAGGTAGGTTCTTAGTCTTTTGTTCAGGGCAGTTGGGATGAGCAAAGCTTTCTACATAAGAGAGCACCTAGGAAAAAAAAAAAAAAAAAAAAGCCAGGGAAGCAGAGCAAACAAAGAAGCATTATCTACATTTGAAGTAAGAGAGCTGACAAGTTCCAGGAGTCCTGCACTCTCTTCTGTCCCTTTGTCATGAGTGAAAAACCACATGAAAACAAACTAGCCCTCAGATCACTTTTTCCTGTATTCAAAATGTAATAGCTCGTTAACTATTGTTTACAATCTCTCCTCAATTTGAACTCCATGTTGTGAAACTTTCTTCATTTAAGAAACCAGTTACTATCAAAAAGGTCTGGAATCAATTCAAATCAGTTTAGCCAAGCTACTTCTGAACCTTGTTCTTGCTTTAATCAAGTAAATTTAGCAAAATAACTTAGGTTAAATTGATTCCTGCCTATGCCAGTAAGCCCATATAAACCAGGTTCAAACTGAATAGTGACTATCTGTAATTTGGAGCCGATTATTTGAATTAAATCTGATAATAAATCATAGCTTTAGGAGAAGAGGGTCGTGCATAGCCCAAGCATACATAATTGTTTCATCAGCAAATCGAACTGAAGCAAGACCCAGAACAGATTCCTTCATCTACCCTTAAAACAGTTTTCAAGTCGTGCTGCTGCCACTCCTGGAATGCCCTTCACTCCAAACACTTTCTGCTTGAGTTCAGAATATCCTCACAGCCACCAAACCTGTGCTGAATTTACCAGTTGTCCTGAAGTCTTTTTCCGCCCACAGTAAGGCCCAGCCCTCCCTCCTAGCAACGCTGGGAGAGGAGACACCACCACTTCGTTGCTTGAAATCCCCCGCTCGGTTTACAGCTATGGTATTTCTGGAGCCCTCTAGCACTTATGCATTTTATAAGCGACACTCGATGGCCAGGACCTCCTCACCCCCCAGGTTTGCCACGGCTCACGGCTAGGCCAGCAGGGCACTAACAAGCACAAACCGACGCACGCAGAAAGGTGGTGGAACTGCCGCTCCAATCTACGTTTTGCATAATATCCATAGGGAAGGAAAATCACATAAAATAAGCGATGAAGATTATCAAATTACTTTTTCCTCTAACGTTTCACAGAACGGAACAATGCCTAACTTAACGATTTTAAAAGAACGCAAAACCACGAACGCAGAAGAACGGCAAAGCTCAGCCCGCGGCCCCGCAAACAACGGAATCAACTGGCCGCCGGGGGCAGCGGCGCAACGTGGGAAGGAGGCGCGTTCTTTCGTTCCCCTTCCGTCCCAGACCCTCCTTTCTTACCTTCGAAAGAAATTCGCGCCCGCCTCCGCTCCCGGCGGCCGCTGTGCGCGTGGTGCGCCGCGCTGCCCGCTCTGCGCCCCGCCACCAGGCGCGGCCCCACGTGCTGAGTCACAGCGCCGCCGCAAGGCGCCGCCAGCCCGCCACCCTGCAGGAGGGGCGGAATTCCCAGGAACGGGACTGCAAAGCGGGACAAAGCCGACAGATGGAAGCCCCTTGGGACGCGCCTCCCAGCGCGACGAGCTGCTAATGGGCGGCTCTGCTCCGCGGGGTTCGGCCGAGCGCCGGGCCGCCCTTTCTCCTCCACGCAGGGTGCGGAGTCACGCGGGCAGCGCCCTCCGCCCGCTGCCGCGCCGCAGTCGGCCTCGGGACTTTTGGAACTCCCCGCCCTTGCCCCAGCCCAGGAATTTCGCTAAATAATCTGGAAAAAAAATATGGGGACTCTTGCAAGGCGGAGCGTAAGAAGCGAGAGGTAATTCTTCTACTACTTTCACTTTCGGTATCAAGCCCCTTTTAAAGCACTTTACATTAAAAAAAGGAAAAGAAAAAAAAAAAAGCAAAGGCAGAGTTTATCACACACGTGCAGCTTGAGATCAGTGCTTGTGGGAGACGCCTTCAATGGAGCTTTCACACACGGCCGTCCTTCCGGCCCTTTGCAGCCGGGAGGACGGGGAGTGCGCCCTGCCCAGCGCAGCCTCATACGTAACGCGGTGCCAACTCCACGCCTCCAGGATGAGCCCTTCGCGCGCGTACTGCTGCCCAGCACACAGCCAGGGGGTAAATTCTCTGTGAAACGAGCAGGTTCTCTGACCGTCATGCTCTCATTTCGCTTTTACAGAACCGTGGTAACTCTACAGCCACCTTTAGCAACCACTAAAGAGATCCACTGGCCAACAGTTCCAAGGGGTACTCTGGGCTGAAGGGAGACCGACAAAGCTCATGCATTTTATTAACGGCATTAACTGAAATCACATTTATTTTGACATTATTTATATAAGTTAAAAACTGAAAATACATTCTCAGAGTGACACAAATGAAAAAATAATGCACACAAAGAGGCACAATCCTGAAAACGCCCAGAAACACTTTCAACTTCTTTTTGACTAACACAGAAACTGAGAAAACATCCTTCAGTAATAGCTACAGAGCTGTCAAATAATTTAGATGATACAGTTTAAATGGAACATAATCACATACACAGCAGACAGGCTGCACATCATCCGCCACAGCCAGCATCTTCTCAGCAACATCGTGCTGCGTGTCAGAAATTAAAAGCCGTGCGTATCACAAAAACATTCTCAGGAAGCATCATGTAAAGATTCTCTGACTCAACCATACGTAACAGGAATCACTGTTACTTCTTCAACTACAGAGTTGAAGAGGTATCAGACAGAGTAGGGCATCAACTGCGAGCACTGTAAAGTTCCTCTTCAATGCAACTTCCGAATCATGAGCTGGCACTGATTGTAATTCAGGACACAAATAGATAATGGTATAAAGTAAACTAGATTTAAAGTAAACTAGATATAAAGCTCAGAAAAATCATGCTAATTAAGACTGGAGTAAAACACCAAAGAATCTCCTGCTGCAGAGTTACATCTTCTGAGCCAATGGGAAAGCATCATCTACATTTGACAATTCTTTTCCCCATTCCATATATACAACACATACAGAAGTACACTACATTTGTTTTTCAGCTCTCAGAAACCAGAACTGAAGCTATGCCATGGAGCCATGAGTCCAACAGCCTTGCTCTGAGCAGGAACAATGCAGAAGCAGGAGGTACAGCTTGCATATCCTTGTTCAACAGCAGGTTCAGAAAACTGTATGTTTTGGCAGCCCATTAAACTCTACCAGCACCTGCCACTTTCTATGGTCCTATGTTAACACAGTTATGATGGATCCAGAATTGTTCTCCCTCTTTTCTCCTAGCTGCTGAATGGAATTCAACTAGACCATGTCAAACGCATGTAGGGCTTGATCCCAGCATTCAATTTCCAGACTCAAATTTTAGATGGACAATGCAGCAAGAATAAGTAGTCCCTACCACATACATGGAGGGGCACAAAAATCTACTGGAGAGGTTACAGACAACTTCTGCCACTGCAAAATTCCTGCACATCAGTCCAGGAAATCAAACTCTTGATTCCTGAAGGAGAAGCAAAGGCAATAAATGCTGCTTAGATGAATGACTCCAGAATGAGTACTAGTGTCAGTTAAGAATCTGCAGAGGGTCAAGGCTTCAGGGTAGAAATCCAGTATCTGATGCCCATGAATGCTGCTCGACACAGGACATGTCCCCCCAAACACCCTGGTCATTAGAGGACTGCGATCAATTCTGATCTAAGCAGCCAAACACAAAGCAACTCCTTTCCTTTCTTTACTACAAGGGTTATTTACAGGTATCTCCACTGTTTTCAAAACAGTGCTTCTTCCTTTATTTCCTAAGAAAGGGAATACAGATTACACTACAGCACAGAGTACACCTCAACCTTCAACACAAACCCATGTCACAAACTCGTAAGAAACAGAATATATCCTATTGCTAACATTCTAATAAATAGTTGGACTTAGCATCACTCAAAAAAAAGTTTTCAGATCTCTTAATAATATCCACTGTTATTCTTACTTCCTATCTTTTCTCCTTCCTCCTTCCGATATCGATGTTGTACATCTCCATATCTTCTTTTCTTTATGTGTTCTTCTCTTGGTTCTTCCCTACCACTTCCCTTTTCATTTCTGCTTGAATTTTCACTATTTCTTTCCCTCATCTCTCTGCCCTCTCTTGGTTCCGTTTTCCCTGCATTTGGTGTCTATATGGCAGCAGAAGTACTCATCACATGTAAAAGCTAGTAAGGAAAATGGGAGAATGATTAAGTTAATTTGTGAAGGAATGGCATTTATTAAGATCACATACTTATATATGCAATTATGAATCAAACCTGATTTACAGAGCCACAGAAGAGTCTATATTTTTTGCCACACCATTTGCTTCCCTTACCAGTCGCAATAGGAACTAGTAAGACTCCAAATTTGTCATTTTATAATCCTTCTGTCACCCTATGGAAGGAACATCAGCAAGGTGGAAGTTCAAAATTACACTTGTGCTATATTTTATTGTAAGCTAGTCAGTTATGAAATATTCAGAGTCAAAAGTAAGGCTATTTTTATTAACCATCACATACAACATAGATCCTTCTGTTAATGCAAGACTCTGAAGCTTTCTACTTTTGTGTGTGAAATATATCAGATCATATTTTTAAAGACATTATCTATCATTAAAGACAGAAGCAATATGCAATTAGTGTATGAAAAGAGCCAGTTTGACAGGCCCTTTCTTATAATGTAGAAACTGAAAGGAAGAATTGACCTTCCCACTCGAAAGTATAAATGCATTTATTTCCAGACCTACAACATAATGAAATTCAATTTTGTATTTTTTTACATTAATGCTTACTGAGAACAAGTTGTTACTATCTTTGTCTTCCTATACCTGGACCTACATAAAATTACAGTAACACTGACAATACACATACCCCTAATTTAAGATACAATTAGGAGTCACATTTTTCAATTCAAAGCTATTAGAAAAAGTTTTCATTTTTTTTTTAAAGGGAAACTACCTTATTAAGTGAAAAGATAGAAGTATGTTACACATAGGTCTGTAATGTAGCAAAATATTTTTCTAATTTGTGCAAACATTCTTCATCACAATTTTGTATTTCATTTTCTACAGTTAACACAAAAAAGATACAAAAACAAATTTTTTAAATTTACAAAATTAAAAAGGCATAACTGAAGACTTCAGTTAATGATATAAAATGTACTTTATATATATTACATAAAATTGTATATTAATATAAATAAATAGATATTGTGATCTTAACATCACATATAGATGGCTAAGAAAAGACTGTAAGGCAAAACCTGTTCAGTGGATTTCTCCTCAATCAGCAGTTTAGGAACCTCTCAAGCCAGGAAGAAACTGGACCTATACCACGTAACAAGGAAGGACTTCTGTGAGCTTAATGGAGTTAGACATCTACTACACCAGATAGACGTGACTTTACTTACAATTATAGAAGCTACTTGAAAACTCATTTGCGATTTATCTGAGTTAATATATAAAAAGATTGTTTTACAAGAAAAAATAAAACTTGGGGTTACCAAAAACAATGTCAATCCAACATCTAGAAGTACAACATAATACTGAGGAATGAAAAAGCATTTTTTCCTGATCAGGAAACTATAGCAGTATTAAAAGTTTGCAAGTAGACTATATAAGGAGGGAAGAGAATGCAATAAACTCATTAAATTTCAATATAAGTCCTCCAGATTATACTGTTACATAACAAGCAGGTCAGCTGAACTTTCTATGTTAGTTATATGTTGTATTGGAGGGGAAAAAAAGCTACAACTTTCACTACTGCCTTTTCTTGACAGATTAGAGAAACTTAAAACAAAACAAAACAAAACCAGTTAGTAAACTGATAAACCTTTTTCATATTCAAAAGAGGTATGTGTGGGAAGGTGTTGGATTAATTTTATCTGGTCTTAAGAAGCAGTGGTTGCTACATTTGGTTCAAATGTGTTAAACAGCATACTTATACTTTGCCTGGTACCACACAGTGAAGTGCATTTCAGCATCCCTGGAACACCTGCCAAAATCCCACTACTTATTTATAATTTGCACAGACTACTACAAAGCGCTGCCACTTGTAGTCATTTTTGCATCAGTGGTGAACACAGCACAAAACATGCCAGACTGCCTGATTTATTAGCATACAATCCCTGGTGTGCTATGGATAGTACTGACAGTACGAGTTCTGGGTGAATTAGAACTTCCAATATACAAGGCAGATGGAATCAAAATTATTTAAAAACACCATCCCTCTCTTACTTCTGTTTTGTTTAATTCTGTGGAGGCATGCTGAGTAAGCATCTTCTCCTGACATGTTTTAAGTGATGAGAAAGTACTCAGTGAATTTTAATGGTTTACATTCTAGATTTCAATGATTTGTGCTGGCCTGTCTTTTTTTTTAAGCAGCAAAAGAAAAGCCTAGTTCAGTGCATTCACATCAAGATCACTAAAATACAAACAACCAATCAAAAAAAAAAACCACAGAACCCTGGAAAATCCAACAACCATACAGTTTAGAATTCTTTCCCCACTGTTTACCTGTTGCACTTGCTTGTAAGATGTGTTGCCGTTCTATACAACAGCTGCTGTTACTATCCAGGCTTTCAGTCTTTCATATTAAAATCTATAGTGCCTAAACAACCTAAAATGCTTCTAAATACCTGTGTTTGGAAGCAATAGGCACATGTGCAGTAATAAAGTCTAAGTAAAAGCGTGGTTGAAACTGAGTCAGAGGAAGCACTCCTCAGCTACTTCAGACATGTCCTTTCCAATAGCAGTTAACTGGGAGAAAGAAAAAGTTTTTTCCTCAGTGTGTGCTGGAGCAGAAGTGAGTATTGCTGGCTTGGGTCAGTGGTCTGATTCCAATCATAGACTCTTTTGTTCAGTTCCGTATGGATATCTAATATAGAGAGCTTCCTGCAGCAACAGAAGTAAAAGATTTTTATTAGACAAAGAAGGAAGACACTATTTAACAATCCACAGATGGAAGATAACTATAGGCTCAGCGAGGAGAAAGTTTCAAATTTCAGCCTTTATTGCAGAAGTTATGCCTTTAAAACCTAAGGCTGAATATGCATTCTGTAAATTCATTACATCCCAAATCACTGTCATGATATTGATTTTAACAAAATGATCCGTGCTTTCTTTGCAAGATTTCAGGGTTTGTGAAAACTACTAAATATGAGCCCACAAGTACACTGAAAAATGCTTGCTAGCTCTTGTAGATCAGCTGTACAATGAAAATCTTTGCTGGTAAATTTATATATGCAAACATATTTGATTTTTGCTCAGATCTCTTTTGATAATCTCTTTGGATAGACAAACACCTTTGATAGTTTTCATTCAACATCATAAATTGGAAAAACTCATGGCTTCCTGAAGAGTGGGTGAATTATACCAAAATGAAGAACAAAATCCTTCCCTCTCAATTGACTTTTTCCCTGAGTAAACTCAGGCACTGGCATTTTATTTGCAAGCAAGGCCCTTCTTAATAATTTAAGAGGCAATCTTCAATTTGACAAGAAGCCAGGTGTGCACTTCATAAGCTGAAGAAGAACAATTTCAAGTCCTGTCTAAAGCCCTCAACTTTGTAGCACTAATATACATTACACCCAGATGCTTCCTTTTTTAATCTACAAATCCCAGTGCCATAACACACTTATCTTACCCTCTAGAATCTGAAGCTTCACTTTCACTCTAGACTGCATTCCTGTGACATTGTTCCAGGACCACATACACCTGTATTTTAACTTACAACATAGCATGAAGGCACTTCTCAGGACCAGAAAGGATGAAATCTAGCAGAACTCTTTCTCTAAGACTGTAAGTTATCCTAGAAAAAAGGTTCATTTTTCCTGATTTTCATTCACCTTTTATGAGGATTGCGGAGCAGCTCAGCCAGACAACGCAGATAATATGAGGATGGGACTGGAGATTTTTCTAGTGTAGACACATCCACCTTGCACTGACTCCAAAAGACATCTGCTACCTGGGGAATAGTGTCTTTCAAGGGCATTTTTGCATTAGAGATGATTTTCTTATCATTTCCATCTATTTCCAGACTAGTAAATTCTTGCTCATCTTCTGGCACAATGTAGCTCTGAATAAAGAAAAGCTTTGGTTTTCCTCGGAGTTCAGGACATGAATCTGCCATAAAGTATTTCTTTATTTGCTCCAAAGGGAATCCAGTAGAGACGCGGTCTGTACAGAAGATGCTCTGAGCATTTCCACGGCTGACCAATATGCATATGAAGCTGTCACAACTCCTGTGCTTCTGTAACCTTGCAACTTCAAGCAATGTTTCACTCATGGTAGTCATATTTAAGTGCTTGTGACAATGAACATCATAGTCCAAGCCTCTGAAAGTCTCTTCCAACATGTCTGAAGAAAGAAGGATGTAATTAAGTCACAGTACCTCAGTCTGTCTTTAAGGGTTACAGAATTTATAATATTTCATTACAAGAAATAGGGTGTTTATCTCATCACACTAATTAAAAAAATCAGGAGTACTCGGTATTGATCAAACAGTACATGGCATACATCCTATGTGTATACTGTCTTTCAACATGATTTATGCACTTCCTGACAAAGGCATTATTTTGTAGCATGCAATTTTTTCCTAATTTCACAGACTTCAGCGTGCTTTCATTTAGAACCAGGATCCCAAGTTTCCAGGACTTAAAACATGAGGCAAGAGGGCATTAAAAAAATGCTTCACAGAGAAGATTCTTGATATGAAAAGGAATGTGCTGGATAGCAAGGGAAGTCTGTTTCAACTATTTAACTTTTCAAAATTACTCTGAATGTTTATTAGAGAAGTATATAATCCAGAGACTTGCTTTCACTAGTTAAAAGTGAATCTACTGCAGTCATTTATGCTTACTATTATACAAAATTACTTAAAAATTACTTAAAAGTGATAAGCTCCAGGTGGAGAACTGTGGCAAGCCAGAGGACAAAATGGCGTTTTCAGAAATAAAATGCTGAACAATATCCCAAAAATTAAAACTGTACACAGCCTATACATATCTGTTACCTGTATTAACTTTAGCTGCAGGAAAGCATGCTATGTTCTGAAAAAGTTGGGATGTTTATTAGTATAGAAGTGAAACCAGATCCATGTTGGTTAAGTCCACATGTATTTAAACATTCAGAGAACCAGCTTATTATTACTACAAATTATAACTGTAGCATTGTACCCTTAGTAGAAATAATGTATACATTGCCCACATGCAGTATCTGATAACTGTGACAGAAGATAACAAGTACCACTTCAATATAAAACGCCTTACAGTCCCAAGAAGCTAGGCTGTCCCCTGACTTCAGAAATTTAACAATTCCTAATTAGCAAAGGCCAATTAGCAAAAGCTAATTTCAGAGGTAACCAGCAGCAAAGCAGGAGTTTCACTAGCCTCACCTCAAAAAGCACATAGTGAAAACAGATTTAATCAATTTAATCAACACAGGGTAGAAATACAGTCTGCACTATAGCGAGGTGATGAACAGCAGCTACATATAGGGTTCTGTTCCAGTCCACTTTGTTTGATTAAATTTTGTACAATATTTCAAATACTCAAGACTTGCTTGTTTGTAAGTAGAAAGCAAAGTATCCTTTATTTTAGACAATAAAATATGCTCTGAAAATTCAAGGTGGAAGACATGAACAATTCAAAAGGTGCTTTTACACAGGAGTAGCTCAGCACCATTCAGAAGTCATATACTTGATGAAGCACTTCATCCATTAGAGGGCAGTAGTGCCTACGCAAAATGACAGTTACAGCAACAGGAGAGCTCTTAGAATTTCTTCATCTCACTAGCATGTGTGTAAACAAAGATACAAAACTTGGTAGCACCTTAGATCATACACACAAATTAAGTGTCACGATTAAAAATAATAAACCCAAACTATTGGAGCTGATACTATTGCTTAAAAATGAATCAGAACTTACACATGGCAAGTTTGAGATACAGCATTTTCACTTTGAGGCAAGATAAAACAAGAGATTATATGCAGCATCCTAGAGCAGCAATAATTCCTCAACAAACCACCAGTGACTTTTAAGGAGTTTCCTTTCCTACATAAAAAATTACCCTTCTCTTCCTCTGTTTACAACACAAGAATAAATCCTGACTTTCAAATGGAAATGAAAAAGTTAAGAGCAGCCAATTACTGCTTGAATAACAACAAAAGCAACTTCAGTTTGAACTTTATCAGCATCTGATGAATCCACATTGTTTGTACCGAGCATTTTTAATCATTGTGATACTTGATCTTGCAGCATTTATCACTGATTCAGCTTCCTCATATTAAATGTTGGGATAGCTGCAGACTCAAATGCATGCCACAGATGTAATTCCTAACTTCCTCCTTGTCTTTTTCTCTCTCTTTGGTATCTTCAGACTTCACAAGTCTGTCGGCACGAGAACTCTCAAGTAGTCAACACATTTCTAAAACATTCCCTGAAATAATGTCATATGCCCTGCACCTCTCCTAAACAGTAATCTACATCAGTGCAAGTCTTGCTTTCTATCATGTTAAAATGCTTGTTTTAATGCTGATAACTTTAGAAATCTGAGGCATAAACATGGCTTAATTCCTTCTGTGTGCTATACAGATGAATGGAGACAGAGGCACACTAAGACTTGCTTTGGGTACTTTTGGCACAACAGCAGAAAATCCATAATTTGCGCGTAAATCTGCTGAAAACATAATCCATTTGTATTCTTTCAAATCAGCAGGATTTTCTTATTCATATTTCCTGTTCTTGTGCAAATACTGAAGTGCTTACATGAGCACAAGAACAGCACATCGTAAGTTTTGTGCATGTATTTGTATTTCATTGTAATATTAAGGGGGTCTACACTGCCAGTAAAAAAGATCTGTGCCTTGAAATGATGAGTAAATCTAAATTTATGCACCTCTGATTGTGAACTGACATAGTAGTTCCTTCTTTATTACCGGTTTTCTGAAGTATACGTGCCTTCCATCAAAAAGTCTGTTTGTTCACTAAAGCTACCGTAAAAGAGAGAAGAAAGCAGAAATGAAGAAGTAGGCCTCCTCACAGAGCAGAATTTACTTGTTTATTTAAAGTCTCAAAAGCCCTTGCCCTGACCCTGTCCTTCCCATCTTGGCAGGCTCTGTTTTCTTGGGGCAAAGTTGGCATAACACTTTTTGAGTAGAAATGATGTACATTAGATCAAAGAACTTAGTTTCTATACACAGTAAATGCATTTTTGGGGGCTTTTTAAAATTTATTTAATTTTGCTACAAAAGTAGTTCATAAATTTTCTGCTTATCCCAGCAAGACAGATTCCAAAGGATGTTTTCCAGTCGCATGTGAGTTCAGTGTTTTCCCTGTCCTTCATCCACACCTGGCAGGATCCTGAATTAGTTTCAGTTTCTTGTACCCAAGTGGCAAACTGCATTGTTTTATACTATTTACCTAAAATATTATCAAGCAGACAGCAAGGTTTTACTTTGTGTCTGTGCTCTGCACTCACTTCTCTTCACTAACTGCATCAATAATTGATCTGTCTGCTAATGGTCCCTATAAAAAAGGAAAGAGATATCTCACTGATCTTCTCCTATATCTCCCAGCCTAATAAAAATTGGCTGCAAACATTCTATTTTAATTTTAGCCCATGTGTTCCAATGATTTTTTCTTGGGTGGTAGGAAGGGTGGGATTGTTTTTTTTTCCTCTGTTTTTTTTTTTTTTTTTTTTTTTTTTTTTTGCTTACGTAAAGACTGTATTTTTGGATTCTTATTTTTGATGAGGAGATCAGAAAAATTCACATTTTAACCACAGGACTTGTTACTTTGAATTCTAGGTAGTATTTTTTTTTAAACAAAGGACCATTTGCTTTCAGCAATTCAAAATCAGTGGTGTCCAATATTTTTACACTTCTGGTCTGTAACAGATTCATTTTTATGGAATGGTGGCAATGTTTTCTTTGCCATCTCTGCCAATAATCTACTGCGCAGCTGTAGCATAAATACTCTGTTGGTCTCCCTGGATGTAATTTCCTTCCCCCTGACATCAGCCTTTCCCCTTTTAAGTTCTTTCACACAGAGTCTCAGGTTGGCCCTCCCAACTTCTTTCTTTAGACAATTAACTGTAATTGACAGAAAGCTGACTAAGACAATATGACTCTAGTTTGGTTGGAAAATATGCATCATATTCTTTATGTTCTAATTACCTGAAGAAAAAAAAAAAAAAAACCCAACAAACCAATAAGAAAAGGAGCTTTAATTTCCAGAGACTTACCTGTGTCATTACCAATACAGTCTATAATCAGGCATACCCCCAAAGGGTGACTTTGCATTCTGTACACATGAGGAAACTGAAAGATAAATACCAAATTGTTATGTCATTCTCTTATCTTACAGACTTGATTCTTTTGTCCAGTTTAATCACTTCAGCCCTTTTAATCATATTCTGTTGCTTTTCCATTGAGTGACTAGTAGAAGCATATCTTCTGGAATTCAATATGTTTTCACCTGTGTAACAAAACTTCAGGACACATGGATTCACAATTTTTTTTCCTTATTTCCTGTATGGCCTTAACTTTCATCTGCTGTTATTCTATCGTATTACATTAATGATCCGTAAACTAAGACTGGACCAGGAATGGGAGAAGGAAGTTTGAGAGTGGAGATGGGATAGAGAAGCTTTTTAAAGACCTGACCCATGAGCACAGCAATCCTGTGTTTTTTCCTGAAGTGTGACTGCTAACATGATGTTGGGAACTTTAAGTTTCACACTGTCAGCATAAGTCGATAATGTCTGTGATTTGTAGGGATGCAGTGGACTCTGCTTATCAAGACAACATTCATTTTCTCATTTAGTACAACAGTGTAAAGCCCCTTCATCCAATAATCTGCAATGACTCTGCACAATCCCCTGTTCCTTTAATGACCAAAGGAACAATTTGCTATAGGCAATTCTCTATACGTTTAATTTACATTAGAACTGCATAGAGCAATTCACAGAATCTATTTATTGCTGATGAAGCTATGAATGTACATACAGTTCTTGTTGCGTGCAGCTAAAGGAAATGTTAAAACAAAACCTAAGGAAAACTAAGGCAAATACCTACTTTTTTTTTTTTAAACTTACATGTATACATGCATCATAAGTGCTAAAGCACTTACCTTATGTGATGCTGGTCCCGATTCTTGAATAGACATGTGGACTGGTTCTTCTGTGGTTAAAGCATACAGAAGTAATCTCAGTGTGTAGGTATTGGTGCTATTTCTTTGACAGCAACACAGATAAAAAAGAACCTATATAGTTTGGTCAAGTTCTCTCTCACCTAGTCCTCCTAGTTCCTATGTGTATTACTGAAGGAGAAAATAAAAATGCTCATGCTAAAATGTTATTTGGATTGCACTCCACATTACTTATGATTAGAAAAGGAAAACAGCACAACAATAAGCAATAAAAACAATCTCTCCCCTACTCTGAGAGAATTCAGTCAGCTAGTCTCTTTAAAACCATCGTATTTGAGAGGTATTGTGAGTTTCCAAAAAGAATACAGCACACACAGTGAGAACCTGGTACTCACTGGCCTGGTGGAGGATCCACAATCAAACTGATGCAAAAACTTCCTAGTCAAGACCTAATGGGAATAGATGCACTACACTGCTCTCCAGAGCTGGATAGTTATCCTATTTCACTATTTTATTAATATTTATTCTATTTAAAAGTTGTCTGACTGGAAGGCACCAGCAGTTCCAAGAAAGTTTGAAGCTCTGGCAATACAAGCCAAACAAATAATAAGACAAGGCTCAGTTTTCAGCGGTACCAAATACTCTCTGCTCCTGTGACATTAAACAGGCTTAGCCATAAACACGGCCATCAAAAAATTGTTCTTTCAATAAATGAAATTCATGGTACAGCTCTAACCCAGCCAATCTTTAGACAGCAAATATTAGATAAAATTTTCTTACCTTGAAAGAAGATTTCTCCATTTTGTGATTTTTCTTTGTTCACATTCTGAAACTAAAATGAAGAAAAGTCTATTTTCCCTTTCTCTTTCAAAACTAGTAATCATGCTTTAAAAATACCATGTGATAATACTTCTTTTCCTCAACAAAAAGATTACATCTTTTGAATTCAAACCTATCCAACTACTTAGAATTTTAAAACAATAATTAAAAAAAGAGAAAAACTCTTTCCTCCCCAAAAAGTAATCAGTTTTCCAAGAACAACAAAGGAAAGCTTATTTCCTATGCTAGTAAAAGAAAAAGTCTCTCTAAAGATACAAGTATTGTTACCTATACAAAGGTAAGTAGAAACTTTCATAAAATTCAAAAGGAAGTTAAAACAATATTATCACAATATGGAAAGTCAGTACAAATTCTTTCCCATTAGTAGTTTGGAAAACAAGCCTGTTGCTTTGTTCATAAGAGCTAATTGTGGTGTTCTGTACGTAAGCTTGATAGATATTTATTAAATACATATCAGAAAACATCTCTACGCAAGATTAAAGATTTCAAGAAAGGTCAGTATTATTACAACATCAGACCTAAGTCAAACATAAACAATGTTGCACACAATAGGGTTTGACTGGAAGTAACTGAGTGGGTGACTTTTGACATATTGAGAGACCTCAGTTAAAATCAGATTAAAATAAACACAAGTGAAGAAAACAGCTGAAGCAAGCCACAACTTTTTGCTTCTAAGGTTTAAAAGCTATTTTCCATGTGTTCTGCAAAGTCCACAGATATAAGAAGAACACTGTGTTTTGCAAAAAACACTCAAAACCTTCCACTCCCCAGAATAGTAGAAAAACACTTTTAAGAGAAAGGATTTTATATTCTTCATTAATAAGAAAAAAAATATATACATAAAAATCACAGGAGCTACTGAAAGGAGACCTGACTGTCAGACAATTTCTATCAGGCCTCAGACATACTACATAACAGAAACAATAAATATAATCCAAACAGTATTCTTGTTACTAGCCATTTCTTACTCCTCAGGCTTTGCAAAGATGAATCCTCTTTCAATTTCTTGTAATATTTAGATATAAAGGATCTGTCTGAGTTACTATATACTTACCCCTGAATTGTAAGGAGGATCAATCAGACTGAGATTAGGGAGAGATGCCTGAAGGGCATTTACATACACAGGCTGAGAATGAACGGAGGACATGAAAGCTGAAAATTGAAAAGAAACACAGAGAAATATACTGTGATATAGGACCTGCTTGAAAAGACCAACTGCTTGGAGCATGCTAATACTCTGACTTGTCAATTCGTCTTTAACTAAAGACTGCATCGTATCCTTACTATCAAAACTAAGCAGTGCAAAAGTATTTTACCTTCTTGCTTATACTTCTCAATCTTCTTAATCAGGTCTATCCTGTGAATATTTCGGAAACAGTTTTCTATCAAATCCAGCTGATTTGGAGCCACCAAATTCAGTTTCTCCAGTTCAATAACCAGACGTAGAAAACTCTGTAACAGCAACAGAAAACCAAATTGTTACCATAGAATATCCTGGGTTCCTGAGTTCAATTTCTGTCTCCACACAAAACCACTTAAAAAACCCCAAACCATATTTCTGAAAGCACTGTCCAAACGCTTCATGAACTCTGGCAGCTGTTGCCATGACCACTGCCATGGGGAGTGTGTTCCAGTGCCCACCCACCATCCAGTGAACAACTTTCTCCTAACACGTAGCCTGAGCCTTCATCAACACAGCTTCATGCTGTTCTCTCAAGTCCTAACACATATCAGTCATTTGTTCTTTATCACTAAAAAACAGACTTGAAATAGTATGTTCAGGTGCTAAAGGTTGTATTTTCAGTAACTGGGCATGTTGTTGCTGAAACACTAAGAAGAGATTACCTGGAAAATATTAGAGGTCTTAGCATTATTATTATTATGGTGTGATAGACTTAAAAACAATTCAAAGGTTTTGAAGAAAATGCCTTGCATTTCGTTGTTACTACATAGCCAGCCACATGAAACATCACTTCATATGTCACAAAGCAGTAGATAAGAAAAGCTTTAGGAAATTTGCAGGATTTCTCCCCTCCTTTGGTTAAAATTAAAAATCCAAAAGAAGCCTTCAGTGTTCTGTGTGCAGAGTGGCCAAGCTTTTTGAATCCTCACTTTCTTTGGCACTTGGAAGAAATATTCAGAATGCAAATATACAAAGAATGACATTATTAAGAAAACCCTATTATTTTGTAAATGGAAGAGCACAAACATAAAAAGTGATCTTGTACATCAAGACATGTTTAATACTATCAGTGGTTTGAGATCCCGCAGATACGAATCTTCAGATCAGCAACACTGAAGAGAGGCTTTATTTTGTGTCTTCTGCCTGTGAGATTCACACCAACCCTGTTTGCTCCAGAAACTCTTCAGAGTTCTCTCCAACTATTTCTTTAGCTTCTTTTCTTGCATTAAAAACAAGAACATCAACAAAATAATGAAATACAAGCCACTTCTCCTTTCACACTTGACTTCTCCCTACTCCTGCCTTGCCATCCATTATGGTACAACCTCTTCTCCTCCTAGCCACCTCCCTTTTTACTTTAATCTCCTTGCTCTAGAGGAAAAGACAAGAATAAAAGTATTACCTTATCTTTTGCCATTTTCATTCGAGGAGCAAAATCTCTGAGTAGAAAAACAAGAGAACTCACTTCTTCTTTTTCCAGATTCTCATTAATCTCCACCATTAGTACCCTGAAATAAAATTGAGGCATTTTTAAAGGACTGGTTTTTAGCAAGATACTACCGTTGTTCAACTACCCAATTTTTCCCACATTCCAGTCTTCACACAACATTCCCAGTTCAACAACATAAAGAAACAACAACAACAAACACACACACACAACTACTCTGCTCTAATATCCAATTACAAAATACCTCATCATGCTTGTCAGCACCAGTATTTCTTCAGACTGACTGCTGGAGAAATAGTTTCCTTAATATTTCAGTACAGATTAAGAGAAAGAATACAAGACAGTATAACACACCTTTGACTTTTAACCTAATAGTGATAGGGTTTTTATTTCAGGGACACGTCACCACAGGAAAACCTTCCTTATGATTGTATGCACTTATTTCTGAAATCCCTTAGGGAAGATCACTCTGTTCTCTTAATTTAAGCTTCTTAAAGCTAAAGAAAAAAGAGCAGTAAGAGATAGGTCACCGGAGAAAAGCTACAATGAGGCTATGTGCCCAAAGCAAGCAAGAAAAGACAATCTATCTAATTAATGATACTTCTATAAAACATCATTTCTATCTGCTAATATAGAACTACACAATCATCACAGTTTTAATAAATTAAGATGAACAAACTCTTTGAAGATAGATGCTTCCAATGCCCTGACCGTCAAGAAGTCATTAAGGTTTATTTTAGGGATTAAACTTGACAATCTTTTCACTGTAACTCTTGCATGATATTCTTTTCTGTTTTTCTTTCACTCTCAAGACAAATTAAACAAACAATTTAAAAATTAAACAAAGAAAACACATATTTTGAAGAAAACACAAAACATTTCTGAAATAGATACCTGTAATCAGGGACAAGTCTGGGATTCCTGCTAAGGTTAGCTTCCACTGTTGTCTTCTCAGTCTTCAAGATCCTCCTCAGCAAATCAAACCTCTTAACTCTGTACAACAGCTCAGACAAACCAAGAAGAGATAGTTTATCCCTGTCATTCAAAGCCACCAAAAGCTCTCTAAGGCCAGCAGTAGCCAAGTCAGGGGCAAGGTCTCGGCACAGGAAAATCATCATCTCATCTTCTTCTTTATCCAATTCTTCTTCAATCTGGTGAATAAGGACAGCTGGTACTTGGCACTTGGTCATCACTTTCTCGGTGTCCCTTTAAAACTGCCAGCCTTCCTTCTTTTAAACAGGAGGCCAACATGACATGAAGTCTGTATCTGCTACAGCACGTCTCTGGCCTTCAGTTGTAACTATATCCATTTCGACGTAAGGAATTCTGTGGAAGAGGAATAATAGGTTCTAAATCTACTGCACAAGATCACAGCTAACTCTCCCATTTGTCATACCTCCCTTATAACTAAAATGCCAACTTAGTTTACATGGACCTCCTGTTCTGAAGGGGTTCTCCCAGATGTTCATTACAGAACAAGAAATCTTTGGTAGGTCATACTGATCAGAAAAAAATGGAAGTTCTTTTAAAGTAAAATTACCTTAATACAAGCCTGTGAATTCCATAGGAAGTGAAACAAGAGTCATCAGCTCGCTGATAAGAAGTCTGTATTTCAAGGGTTTCTGGTAATAAGAGATTAAGTTCCACTGCAATTGAAGTCTAAAGCCCTGATCTCTTTCCAGCAACCCACCACTCAGTCTCCTGCCCAAATGTCTGAAGACATTTTAAAGGAAGCATTTTGAGATTTAAGAGATAGTGTAACCACACACTGTAGACAAAACAGTGAAAACAACAACAAACTAAATACAGAAACACTTACCAGGTATCCATTTCAAAGTTTAAAAAAACCAAAACAACGTAGTTATTTTTACATATTAGTTACCTTCAAATTCAGGAACGTGTAGATTGCCTTATTTATTAGCACCACTTTAAGTGATTCCACTGAGTTACCAGGGTTTGAAGGGTTCCTCCCCCACACTCTCCACGGTCAAAGAACCGCTCAAAAGAAAAAATTCCAACCTTCAATATGCCAAGTAGTTAACTCTGAAGGCACAGATAAGCCACAGACCACCTCTTTTTTCACGTGATACCCATACTGAAAACTGAAAGAATTCAAAACTAGAAAGAAAAAAAACCCTCACGATTAACAAAGTAACTAGGGTGCTATGATCAATTTCCGTTGCCACTATGGAAATTCTATCTGTCCCTCTCTGATCCCCATTACGTACACTGGGAAAGATGAAATAAGCAATCTGAAGACAAATCTTAGCCCTTACAAGCAGTTCAGTTAATACACTGCATATGGTTTTGTGTAAACCACACTGTAAAACAAAACCCAATAGAGCATCAAAGACTAATACGTAGTAACACTGTAAGATCAGGGTAACATTTTTTTAAAATCAGTTTCAGCCCTGGAAGTCACATTCAACAACACATACTATGTCTGTGTGCTCAGCAACTAAGGAGAACTCATCTAAAAGCTTTTTTTGAAAATCAATTATCATTTCAGAGCTGTTTAAATGAAAAATAATTCTATACACTTAACTGACTTTACACAGAGAATTGTAAGAGTTGGATCAGAGTAAACCATAGGCTAAGATCTACTACTCACAAAAAGAGGAAATCAAATTCAAGTTCCTGTGGCAAAGTCTCTTTTTATCGACAGCTACCCTTGTGAACCATATTTTCTATGGAGTCAAAGACTGCAGTGGATTTTTCCTATACTTTATGACAACCACAACAGCAGGAAAAGACATCACTATTTAAAGAACAAAAAAAAAAAAAAGAAAAAAAAAATAAGAATAATAATCTTTCTGGTAACATGACTAAACTACTAGGGGATTTTAACACAAGCAGCTGCTATGACCCCAAGGTGCCACCTTCAGAAACAAAACAGAAGTTTCTGTTGTAAAGTATCATAAATTCACCACATTAGAAGAGCCAAGTATTACTTAGCTTAGAAACTCCTACACTTCTGTACCACCATGCAAATGAGACCAAATGCATTTGCAAAACTCAAAATGTCATCAAGACCACTTAAGCACATTTTCAGTAGCACGGAGTATTCAAAAGCACCTGACAGTAACAAGGCTGTGGATAACCTTTGCTTATCAGTCTCCTAAACAGTCAGCTCTACACGTACCACATACCACGTGCGTTCAACACATACTTCTAAGCACATAGAGATGGTGCATGATTATGGTACTCCTGCTACAGCACAGAACCAGGAAAAAGCAGCACTCAGATACAGTTCTGTTCTTCAGAACCCAAAAGAGACAGGCACAGTGTTCTTCTTCACATCACATCATTTGGGAACAAGCTGAAAAGTGTTTCCAACAAAAATGAACTGTGAAGACAAAATGAATGTACTTCTGAACATGCTGTTTCACACAAGGGTCTGCTTGGTACAACTGGAGAAGCACAGCTATAGTGGAAATGCTAAGTCATGGCCTGAAGCAGTGATTGAGCACCTGGTGGAAGGCAAGGCCAACCCAGGGAAGGTCAGGTGCACTCAGTGCAATGCAATGGAATGCACCTGAGTGACCGGAAGGAATGGAGCCAGGATCCATAAGCAGGAATTCCACTCCCATGAACTGTAATCTGTACTGTGCAGTGTCCTATCAGAGGAAAAGCATTTTTGCTGTTAACTTCTGATTTCCAAACTAGCATCAAGTATTATTTGTGAGATGTCTCACAGAAAAACAAACTTTTTTGTGAGACGGAATTTATTCCAGAAGGGGGAGACAGAAAATGCTCCCATAGGAAAGCACCCCCAGGTACTTACAGCCAGGATTTTCAAAAGCACTTGAGGAAGTGAAATGTGTGACTTAAATGCACTCCCTCCCTGAGGGTTCTCAGTGGGCAACGACTAAGAGCAACATGAAGATCTTCAGTATCTGAAACAGCATTTTTATCTTTACATCCAAAAACATGAGTTGAGAAAAAACCAGTATATCTTCTCAACACAGAAAACAAAAGTTCATAGTCATCAGAGTTAAAGCTGCCCCAGCAGGTTGTGTGCTCTTGTGCACATGTGATTTGCCAGCATTACCACAACAAAATACTGAGAATTTTTCTGTTCAGTGCAGTGTTAAATAAGAAAATATTTCAATGCAAAGCTTCTGGAACAGGAAGATGGTTAATTATTTCAAATAGCTCAAGTCTGACATCACCACTGACACTGAAAGGTCACATTTAGGGGTGGTAAATGAAAGACATGGCCTACACAGAGCACAAAAATAATTTTCCTTCCTTCTGTTAAAAGAGCTAGGAAACCCCCAGGCACAGTAAGGGAAAACAAGCCACGGAGGGGGCAGTTTTCTGTAAGTCTGGCTATTTTAGTTCACAATCACTCCAAATTTTCTCAGAAAAGGGGTTATTCTAATACTTGTAGTATCTCCAGAAATAAAACCATAAATTCTAGGACTCATCAGTCATCTTGTCTCCTAAAAAGGCTGAGAGAAAAACTCAAGGAGGTTAAGATCAAAGAGCACCTGAATACTAATTTCTGGTCTTCATTAACTTTCAAGCTTCCCTGAAAAAACGTAAGATTTTAAAGCTGATTTGACACCTACCGGTTAATTTCTCACCTACTGCATGGGAAACTACCTTTCTGACAATTCTATTTGCCTAAGCCTAGGCTGACCTGTGACTGTGCCAACAAAGTCCAAAAGATTTTTATTTTTTAGAATAAACATCTGAGAGTATAAGCAAGCATATTTACTCCTAAAAGCACAAGTCATTTCCATTTCACACCAAAGAAGCAGACAGAAACCCACCACTACATTAATCAGTTTCTCTGATGCTAACTTCATCATACTCCTATTTTTGAGCTTTTTCACGCTGTGAACAGTCCATACAGCATAGAACCAAAATCAAGGACACCTTTTTTTATGCAGCAAGTAACAGCATACTAGAAGTTCACACACAAGCACACGCAAGGCTATCGTAACTCCCCGTCAGCATTAACAAGAGGAGTCTGTACAAGGTTCAAACAATTTTACTCTTTGATACTTAACACCATGCCGAAACCTTTGCTCCTATGACTGCAATGCAGACGTTGTGCAACATTCAAATGTCTGTGTGATTAGCAAGGCAAATAGAATGCTGTACTAATCAGGATATGGTCGTATCTCAAGCCTTGCATTAAAAAAGCCTTTCAAAAGAGACGAAGAAACATTTCACGCTCTAAACTAGGTCTAAGCAAAGCCTGTCATTTTGGACAGCATTTGTTTCTTTAACATTTCGTAACTGTTTCTGCAGCAGCAAAAACAGGATATAACATCAGTGCCGTAGTTATTTGGAAAGTGCTCTTTGTTTCCTTCACATGATGAGCTCATGCAGAAGCCCCTTGCATTTCAGATCTGTGATATGACTTTGTTCAGCATTAAAAATTACTCAGCGTGCTTCCCAGCTTTCAAATTTCCCTGTAAAAGAACGGGCAGGGAAAGCAGAAGTCTCAGAAAGGACCTTTCACGCTTCTTGTTCCTCTGCCAGGCTTGAGTAACTTCCCACGTACGTTACCAGCGACCACACGAACTGCCATTTAAAGATGGCCAGAACCCCAGTTTTTCGCATCAAAACAAGTAAAGTTCGCTTTTACTCCAAGGAGTTTACGTAGACTTCCACTCCACTTTCTCACTAGTCACTTTAAATCACACACGGAAAAACCAAGCGAAAGGGCTCTCCAAATCTCCGAGGCAAACCCCGCCAGAGAAGGCAGTGTCGGGTTTCACGTCTCCCCGGCAGTGCGGGCAGCCGCGCACCCACATCCGGCTCAGTTCGGCCCGCTCCCGGACAGCCGGGCCGGGCCGGGCAGGGTCCGCTCTCGGAGCGCGCAGGGTGTGCGGAAAGCAGACACGGGGAAAGGAAGAGCGGGAGGTATAACGCACCCGAGCCCGCCGGGAAGGTATCGTCTACAGCAGCGTGGCCGGGTCCGGCGTGGGAACGGGCGAGGCTTCGAGCAGGGCGGTGAGGGACGCCCTTCTGTGTTTCAGAGAGTGACTTAAGTGCTTTTCCCTCATACTTCCCAAGGCTGCTGGAGACCTCAGCCGCCCCTGCGCGTGGGTAGCAGCAGTCGCTGTGCAAGGTCGAGATCCCTCTCGCTGAGGGACGAGGGCGGTGCTCTTGGTTGCCTTACCCTCCGTTATTCTCTGCCGCGCCACGTTCGTCAGCTCTTACGGTTTATCGTGACTCCGGCTGTTGGGTATTTCCGAGCGAGGCGAGGCAAGAACTACGCTTCTGGTTCCGTCATCTCCTTCAGGAGAGCGAACCGAACTGCGCAAACTCACCCAAGATGGCGGCGCGGCTTTACGAGAGGACGCGGCGCCTCCCGCCGGCCGCCGCGCGCGGCATGGCTACCGGCTCCTGGTAAATCTCCGGTGATGGAGATTTACCTTCGTGGTTCTTCGACCGTGAGGCTGGCAGGTAGGACTGCGCTCTCAGGAAAGCTTAGTGTATGATAAAGACTTTTATTTCGTATCTGTCATAGGAGTTGTCCTGTATAATATTTTTATATTGCACAATGTTGACAAAATATGTTCGTTGTAAATCAAGGCAGCAGCTAAGGGGTGAGGCCGAAATGCTGCCTGGCTATTCTGTCCCTCAATGATCCCACGGTGATTCATAAATTCAGGAACTGTACTGAAGCTAGTCCAGCTTGACAGCTGATGTGCCTAATATGCCTATGTAAAATTGTGGTTGTCTATGATAAACTCTCGATAAACCAAATGGTCCCTTAAAAAAAGGTACTGAAGAACACGTTAGTTTGTTTCTTTGTATTTTACAATCTTTCTGCCCAATTAAACTAAGCAGCACACCAATGTTATGCATTCTGAAAATGTGCTTACTGTAACTTCTAAGTGTGCTTCCATCTGCTAGTGATAGGAAAAGAAAAATGTATCTCTTCAGCTGCTGTAAATCAGAGTAGAATCAGTTGAGTTGGAAGGGACCTTTAAAGGTTCATTTGCTTGTAATAGTCAATGAAGTGGCAGGACTGATGGTTTGAAAGATTTATCCCAAGGGACTTGCAGCAACCTCACTTCAGACTCAAGCATTCAACATAGAACAGAGACCAATAAAATGTGAACCTGTAGACTAGTATGAAAACAAGCTTTACCAACAAGAAACTAAAACCAAGAGCAACTATTGCTTAGAGTTTCCAGAAGCATTATGCAGTGTGGCAGGATGGCTGGGAGGCAGTGTGTGGGCACACGCATCAAGTATGGGCACAGCTGAAATGAGAAATGTGCATCCGAAGCTAAGATTCACTGATAGCACATGTAATGCTGGCTCTTAATAGTTAACTGAATTTTAGGTTGTTGTTCAGTAGAAATTTAACAGTTTAGTCTTAGGCCGATATAGAGGGAGACAAAAGTGAGCATTAGCTTTTGCAAATGTGTATGCTTTTTGGGAGTACCTAAGGGACAACATGGAAATTCTTGGTGCAGTGGATTTCACACAGTATGTTCTTGATTTGCCTTTTCACAGACTGATTGAACTGTGTGGAGATGTTTCAAAAAGACTTTAGGCAAAAAAAGGAGTTCAGTAAAGCTGTTGTGTGCCCTATGAACAGAGCTTTGAGCAATGTCATGCAGAGATGTAAAGCTCCACTGAACTCTACTGCTGCCCTCTCACATCAACAGATGGTTACTGGCTCTAAAAATAAAGGCCCATTGTAATTCCACTTTAAAATGTTGTGTACATATATGTTTTAAAGACACTTTTAAGCCATTTGGTAGGAGCTTCAATTTTATTTTAATAAACCTGCATCTGTGACATGGCTACCCCAAAAAACTTTCCACTTTATTCACAGTGGATGTACACTGTATAATTATCTACTGGTGTGTAGCATCAGTTTTGCTTTCTTTTTAGTGATAGGTACCCTATTATCTGAATTGAAAACTTAGTATAACTGCCTTTTTTTTTCCTTACTAAGGGCATAACAAAGATATAAAATAGGATATCCAGACAGTGCTAATTCCTAGCTCTGCAAAGGCTCTTTTTTTTACTATGTGTCCTCACCCCAGGCATCCAAAAAGCGCTCTAGGAAGAATAATGCAAAGAGAAATAATATATTTAAAAAATAGTATAAGAAAGCCGTATTAATGCAAAATTATAACTGGAATTGTATACCAGAAAAAAACAACTGTTCTCTATTTT